TACTACTTTGCCTACATTCAGTAGTATAATTAAAAAAACAAAATAGAACCTGGATGCCTTTCATTTAATTTGCTCCTTACTTGTTGAATAAGCAACAATTGTCTGGATTCAGTATTTACTTGAATATGTGAATCTCAGTTTAGATGTCACAATATCTGGTTTTTCAGAACATGCATATCCCAAAGGAAATTGATTGTGGCTTTATAGGCTATGTGAACGTTTAAATTTCGCAGCTGAGCTCTTGCATTCTATGTCCAGCCCACTTTTCCTAAGGAAAAGATGCTTCATTCTATTGATCAGAGAAATAAAGAAGCAGGACATGTAGAAAGGTGCTCTAAGGGCTATAAAATGCTATAAATGTGACTGAGTTGAATCACTTTGTCTTCAACAATCTGGAGCCTCATATCATTAATGTGATGATATTTACCAGAATTACAAACTAAACAAGAGATACATGGCAGTCTTGACTGCTGCTTGAATTTGTGAAGGACTTGAAGGAGTTAAGAAATGAATCACAGCCAGGTAGCTGCATTATTATGCATTATTATACAGAAATTTGATTACATGAAAATTCTACCTACTGATGTTGACATGGTTGCAGTCACCCAAAAGAAGTTGGTTTGCAATTGGGGTACGTCTGAACTACAGCATCTTCTTGAATAGGAGATTGAAGCTATGCCCTAAACAGTCTTCAACAGATATGAGCTAGACCTATTCTTGGACTAGTCTTCAGTGACTCCTGCCTTTGTCATTTCTCAAAATGTTTTCATTTATTCTATGTGAAGCTGCCATTGAAGACAACTGTTGCAGTTCTTAGGGCTTTAGTATGATAGCAATTTGATGAATGTTTTCATTTAAGTATGCAGCTAGTGATATTGAATAGTTTGAATAAGGGATGTTTAAACAGTGATGGATGGATGGATGGATAGTTAGGTACCAAGCACTCAACTATAATTCTGCATAACAAAGTAGTGTATTCTAATAACTGTTACTATAGAGTTATAATTTCATGAATAAAGTGTGAATCTGAATGCATATTTTATTCCCTTATAATAGAATACACTTAATTTTCAAACTAATTTTTCAGCAGTTACTGTATATTTGGACCATATGGAATCAGTTTTCCAATATGGATTATAAATTTAACTGGAAACATTCCACTTAATGGAAAGGTGAAACATGGATTTCGCTAATATAACCATCTCATTGGTCCTGGGTACAAGATTTAGAAAATTTCAGTAAGGGATATTATTAGCCTGCAAAGAGTTATTTAAATACTAGCAATTTTTGAAGTAATATTGAGACTTACTAAAGTAAAGGTTTTCCAGTTTTTCCATAGGGCAAAAAAGCTCCTATGTTTGAGCCCTACCATTTGCAAAGTTCAACTTAAATGTTAAAAGGGTAGAAAATTAGAATCATGAAAAACATATATATAGATCTCACAAGGCTGATGATTGAGCTACACTATCTTTAAAATTAAACATGTGAGGCAAAGATGCCGATGCATAGATTTTTTAACGTTAGACGTAAGTAATAATATTCCTGAGAATACATAAAGTTTTACTTACTTATATTTCCATATGTTACATATGCTTTTCTAGTATTTTGTGTAAACATAGGGACAATTGGCTAGATGAAGGAAAAGAAAGAAATAATGAGACTATTTAGTCCCTGTACATGAAAGGAATGAAATGTATTGTTGGGACATGAACTGGATATATTAAAAGATCACTTTGGGAAATTAATATTGACAATCTATGTTGCTAAGGTCATTGCATCTTTTGACTTCCTTTCAGAAATTTTCTGAGATTTTAAACACTGCAACAGTTGCACTATCTTACTAAATGTAGTTTGAACTCATCTTCTGGAATGCTTGACTGTCCTTCAATTTTTCTTCAATCCTGAATTCTCATGCATCTAATCGCATTCTGCATCCTTCGGCAAATGCTGGGTTTCACTGTTTCCTATGGGACAGGGATCATCATTTCTTAACCAACTCCAGATAAAACTTATTTATAGCTAAAGAGAAAATTTCTGAACACAGAAAATAAATTCCACTTGATGAGTTATTACAGTATTTTTCGGAGTATAAGACGCAACTTTTCCCCCCAAAAGAGGCTGAAAATTTGGGTGTGTCTCATACACTGAATGTAGCCCCTCCCACTCACCGGCCCCAACCCTTTAGCCTCTGCCTCCCAGTTACAATCGGTCGCTTGGTCCGTGCTCCAGCAGACGCTGAGGACTCACTGTGCTCCCAAGCTGTCTAAGTACGTTGCCGGCACGAATTTAATATTCACAACCAGAAGAAAGGTGAATCAATCAACAAGTACATTGTGGTGCTACCAAAAGCTGCAGCATACTCCCAGTTCCAAGACCTTTATTCTTGGCTGCATCATATGCGGTGTGCAGGACATTAATTTACAGAGGAGGTTACTCGCCAAATCTAACCTCCCTCTACAAATTGCCTTGGACGAACCCAGGAATTGGCTGTCAAGTCAACAGAAATCCTGCAGTGCCAAAGCACTCCACAAGATGCGTGAAAGCACATAGCTACTGACATCTGCCGTTTGCACAATAGCCATGTGAAGCCAGCACAGAAATTCGAACCATGATTCCTGCCTTACGCTAGCTGCAGAGGAGACCATGCCTGATCGGCTTGCCATTTCCATGGTGCTATCTGCCAGTACTGTGAGCAAAAAGGGCACATTGCCAAAGTTTGCAGAAGCGAGCACCCCACGATGACCTGGCAGCCAAGAAACTGAGCTAACCACCAGCAAAGGCCCAACCAAGGGGCATGGCAGAAGCCACCACAGCATTCAGATGGTGACACCAGAGTCACCTACTACGCCTCAATTGGCCAAGTCCGCACTAGGTGGCCAAAAAACCTGAAGGTCACAATCCTCATCAAGGGCTCTCCATGCGAGATGGAGATCGACACAGGGTTATCACTGACCATCATGCTGTGGTCCACATTGAAGCAGGCTATCCCTAGCCTGAAGAAGCAGCATCTATGCACCCCTGACAGCCACCTTTGCAATTACCAGGAGAACCGAGTCGTGGGTCAGGGCACCTTCCAGGTACAGTTCAAGAAATACAGTGGCCAGAGGGAGGAGCCAATGTCCCCACAGTACAGACGTGCGGTCTAGATGCTCTGAGACTGCAGCCGGTACTTTTGCCACTGGGGGGTTCAATCGGACCTAAACCGTCCCGAAGAGACAGTGAACAGGAAGAATACGTCTTGCTGATTTCGGGGATATCGCAAAATCCCTGAAAAAAGCAACAAAAAGTCTTCAAGCTAGTGATAAAAGACAGCTTAGGCTGATGAAGTGAGGACGGATGGCTATGGAACGGAAGGGAACAGATAGAGAAAGTGTGATCATCTGGGGAAATCTTTCTGTTTTGGAAAAAAAACTGCCCAAAAGAATCTCTTTTTTATGCTAAACTAAACCCTTAACCAGAAGATGTCAGCGGCGAAATTGATCTTCATTGTTTTGGTCAGTATGCTTTTCTTTTTGTAACTATTAAAATGCTTCTCGCAACTTTTTCTCTCTCCCTCCCCTGCTCTGCTTAAAGTGAATGGACCGGTTTTTCTTTTTTGGCTTCTTCCTGCCTTATTTTTCAAATCAAGGACTAAAATCTCCCTCTCTACTTTAACAAAAATTGTATATTATTTGCTATTAAACTCCATTTAAGAACTTTGTCCCTCCTAAATCTGAGTCAACACAAGAAAGTGAAAAAAAATACTAATTTTGCTGCTCAGAAGCTTAATGTCTTCGTGCTTCAAACCTGGAGCTTTACCTCAAATTTCAAGGCAGAAAAAGTTGCGAGAAGCATTTTAATAGTTACAAAAAGAAAAGCATACTGACCAAAACAATGAAGATCAATTTCGCCGCTGACATCTTCTGGTTAAGGGTTTAGTTTAGCATAAAAAAGAGATTCTTTTGGGCAGTTTTTTTTCCAAAACAGAAAGATTTCCCCAGATGATCACACTTTCTCTATCTGTTCCCTTCCGTTCCATAGCCATCCGTCCTCACTTCATCAGCCTAAGCTGTCTTTTGTCACTAGCTTGAAGATCTTCTCTTGCTTTTGATTTTGATTTTTGATTTTGCAATATCCCCGAAATTAGCAAGACGTATTCTTCCTGTTCACCATCTCTTCAGGACAGTTTAGGTCCGATTGGACCCCCCAGCTGCAAAAGTACCAGCTGCAGTCTCAGAGCATCGAGACCGCACGTCTGTACCATGGGGATATTGGCTCCTCCCCCCATTTTCTCTTGTTGAAGTGTTCAGTTTTGAAGATTAATTTGGTTCCTTCAAAATCATGTCCTGTTGCTTTAAGGTGCTGGAAAAGGGA